CGTGGCACCGGCCAATGTTTCCTAATATTCTAATAAACAAAACCAGACCTGCTTTATTTCCTGAAATGATTCTGTCATTTTCCACAGTTTAAGTGCACTGTGCTCTGACCCAAGCATTTTCTTGTTGCTGGACCTTCAGGCTTTCCTAGTTTTTGTCGCTACAAACAAGACATAACTTCCTTACACTTATTTTCTTGCGCACCATAGACTCTTGCAGTAAAAGCTAGGTACTTCTCCTGGTCTCCCATGGGGTGCAGGGCCCAAGTACTCGGGCCATCCTCCACTGCACTCCCGGGCCACAGCAGAGAGCTGGCCTGGAAGAGGGGCAACCGGGACAGAATCCGGCGCCCCGACCGGGACTAGAACCCGGTGTGCCGGCGCCGCAAGGCAGAGGATTAGCCTAGTGAGCTGTGGCGTCGGCCAAGGATTTCAATTTTTTTGCACCAAAATAAACATATTTTAATTCCATTTCCCTTAAACTAAAAAAAAGGTTATTTTCATCTATTAGAAAGGCAAAGTGTGTGTGTGTGTGTGTGTGTAAGACAGAGAGAGAGCGCGTGCTTCCATTTGCCAGTCCACTCCAAGAATGGCCACAACAGTGGTGGCTGGGTCAGGATGAAGCCAGAAATTCCATCCGTGTCTCCCAAACGAGTGGCAGGAACTCAAACGCTTGAGTCATCATCTGCTGCCTCTTAAGATGCATTAGCAGGAAGCTGGCTTGAAACGAGAGTTGCCTGGACACAATCCGGCACTCCCACACGGAAAGGGGCATCCAAAGTGGCAACTTAGGTGGTTGTGCAGGAACGTTAACCTCCACGAACTTTTGTTTTAAAGATTTATTTGAAGGGTGGAGTTACAGAGAGGCAGAGGCACAGAGAGAGCTATCTTCCATCCACTGGTTCACTACCCAAATGGTGCCCATCCGAAACCAGGAGCCAGGAGCTTCTTCCAGGTCTCTCACGTGGGTGCAGGGGTCCAAGGACTTAGGCCATCTTCTACTGCCTTCCCAGGCACATTAGCAGTGAGCTGGATTGGAAGTACAGCAGCTGGTATTCGAACTGGAGCCCATATGGTACGCCAGCATTGCAGGCAGCAGCTTAACCTGCTACGCCACAGCACCAGCCCCCTCCATGTATGTTTTGAAGCAGCTTTGTGTTTGTATTTCTTATTTTTTTCCATTATAATGCCTTTTTATTTATTTATTTATTTATTTATTGACAGGCAGAGTGGACAGTGAGAGAGAGAGACAGAGAAAGGTCTTCCTTTTCTGTTGGTTCACCCTCCAACGGCCACTGCGGCGGTGCACCACACTGATCCGAAGCCAGGAGCCAGGTGTTTCTCCTGGTCTCCCATGCGGGTGCAGGGCCCAAGGACTTGGGCCTTCTTCCACTGTACTCCCAGGCCACAGCAGAGAGCTGGCCTGGAAGAGGGGCAACCGGGGCAGAATCCAGCGCCCCGACTGGGACTAGAACCCCGTGTGCCGGCGCCGCAGGCAGAGGATTAGCCTGCTGAGCCGCGGTGCTGGCCCATTATAATGCCTTTTAAAAACTGTATTTGAAAGGTAGAAAGAGATAGATCTGGGGCTGGTGCTGTGGCGCAGCAGGTTAATGCCCGTCCCGAAATGTCCCAAAGCGCCAGTTCGAGACCCAGCTGCTCCACTTCCCATCCAGCTCTCTGCTGTGGCCTGTCAAAGCAGTAGAAGATGGCCCAAGTCCTTGGGCTGTTGCACCCGCGTGGGTTACCCAGAAGAAGCTCCATGGCTCCTGGCCTCAGATCGGCACAGCTGTGGCCATTGCAGCCAACTGGGGAGTGAACCATCAGAATGAAGACCTTTCTCTCTCTTTTTCTCTCTCTCTCTGCCTCTCCTCTCTCTGTGTAACTCTGACATTCAAATAAATACATAAATGTTAAAAAAAAAAAAAAGAAGAAGAAGAAGAAAGAGATCTTCCACCCACTGATTCACTTCCCAGATGGCTGCAATAGCAGGGATTGGGCCAGGCTGAGGCCAGGAGCCAGGAACTCCATCCAGATCTCCTACTTGGATGGCAGGAACTCAAGTATTTGAGCCATCATTTTTTTTTCCTCCCAGGTGCGTTAACAGGAAGTTGGATTGGAAGCAAAGTACATGGGATTCTAATTGTATCAGAGTAGCTGGCGTTCTGATGTAGGATTTGGTAAAGCAAGTCCCCCCTATAATTATTTTATCCTTTATTTTCTAGGGAGCCAGCATTGTAGCATAGCAGGTAAAGCCTTCGCCCATGACATTGGCGTCCCATATGGGCACACTCATTCGAGACCTGGCTGCTCCGCTTCCAATCCAGCTCTCTGCAGATGCCCAAGTCCTTAGGCCCCTGAGATCAGAAAGAAGCTCCTGACTCCTGGCTTCAGCCAAGCCCAGCCACAGCCATTGTAGCCATTTGGAGAGTGAACCAGCAGATGAAGATCTCTCTCTCTCTCTTTCTCTCTCTGTGTAACTCTTTCAAATAAATAAATTTAAAAAAATTTATTTTCTTGGGTATTCCCCAACTTACAAACTTTCGAAACATCTTGCCTATAGCACCTACCTATCTGAGAAAGGGGAAGGGACATTTTTCTGGCATTAATTCCCCATGTCCAGGAAGATTGACTCTTTGTTTTGGCTTATGTCTTTTAATAAAATTCATAGTTTTGCTCCAATAGATCTTATGCCTTCTTTCCCAGGTGTTTTGTACTTTTGATTGTTGTAAATAGGATGTTTTTCCCATTTCTATTCGAACTAAATACTGCCTAGGCAAAGAGAAGCTATTAATTACATTACTTTCCATTCAGCCACTAAATTCTCTTTTAGATTCTAGTAGCTTATTATTTTTGGATTTGTATCCTAGGAATACAATCTTAGTGCCTGAAAAATTAAGGTTTTTTCCCCCCAAAGGTTTACATCAGGAAGGTCTTACTTAGCTGGATGCCTGTACTACCACGCTGTGCTGCCATATTCCCATAGCTGCTTCCCTTACACAGGGATTTGCTGTTGCTGCCAAGGGGGCCTCCAGAGAATGAGACAGTTGGTCCTGCACAACTGCTTCCGTTGCCACTTTGGATACCCCCTTTCCCTATGGGAGTGCCAGATTGTGGCCAGTGCCAGTTGCTGTGTACATGTGTCATGGATGATAGCACAATGCACTAACTGACTTAGCTCTCACAAACTGCATTTCTTCAGGTCCCTGCTGTAGTCAGACCAAATTCCCATCTGGTTTCTTTCGAGCAAAGAGTCTTGTCTGGGCCTACTTATTCTGCTATTACCCTTACTCTTTGAAAGACCGATGTCCTGAAAGGACTTCCCTGGTAATAGCATCTAACAAGCTTGTCTCAGTCTGTTATATCACCAGGTTTTATTTTCTTTATAGCATCAGTCATATTAGGGCAGGTATAGTTGTGTCCTCAAGATAGGCCATATAATAGATTATAAACTTATTTATTCTTTAACCTCTAGATGAAAAAACTTAGACCTTCAACAAATATTCATTGAATGTTGTTTTCTAGAAAATAATCTACATCGTTAACATATATAACTTTTTTATTCCCATCTTTTTTAAGATTTATTTATTTATTTGAGAGGCAGAGAGAGAGAGAGAGAGAGAGAGAGAGAAAGTCTTCCCTCCGCTGGTTCACTCCCCAGATGCCCGCAGTGGCCGGAGCTGTGCCGATCCAAAGCCAGGAAGGAGCCAGGAGCTTCTTCCAGGTCTCCCACGCGGGTGCAGGGGCCCAAGGACTTGGGCCATCTTCTACTGCTTTCCCAGGTGCATTCGCAGGAAGCTGGATCGGTTCCCATATGGGTTGCCGACACTGCAGGCGGCTGCTCCACCTGCTACCCTGCAGCATCGGCCTCCCCAACCTTTCTTAGTGTTACTAAGAACGGTTGCTGTTGATCTTTTGGAAATATTTTCGGGTAAAAGACAGCACAGTGAATGGAGTTACTGATAATCAGCATATAAAAAATGCGCAAATCATTGTGAGACCATAACTACAAGGGAGATAACTATCCAAGCAGAGCTAGAAATTTAGCTTTTCTAACATTCAACCCATAGGGACGAACTAGGATCTCATTATCTTTCTTTCTTCCTTTTTAATACCGGCTTTTCTGAGTTGCATTTCAAGTGCTGTAGAGACACATTTACCACTTCAAACACTAACAAAAGGGACTCTGTGGGAAATGAAGAAAACCAGTGGCAGCTCTCCCAGACCCAGGCTACTGGAGGCTGCTTCAGCCCCACTACTCCATGTGGTTTTAGCAGGCAGATCTGCGCCAGGAGCTCACCAGGTTTATAAACATTTGCTTCCACTTCCCTCATTTACAGACTTCGATTTACCAGAAGCCTGTCTGATAAAACTCCGGTTGAAGCTAAAATTATCATTAGAGGTACCGTTAAAAAGGCTATCTGGAAAGACATTTCTGTGGTTCAAGGTGAGATGGTGGACGGGGTGGCCTTTAGCAGAGGCAGTTTTTTCTTTTTCTTCCCCAGCCCTCTCATTAAACTTCACCCCGCAGCCCCCAAAACAAGCGGCGAAGACCCTCTCGGGCACTCAGCCTGGGCCAGGCCTAGAGCACAGGAAACGCTCGCTCCCGGGCGTCCGGCCTCTCGGCCCCAAGGCCGCCGCCCGGCGCCGACGCGCTCGCCCGGTGCATTATGGGCACTGTAGTCCGGCCGGAACCTGTGCCCGGCCACGGGTCCCGTGACGGCGCTGCGACTCAAGTCCCCAGCCGCAGAGCCCCTCCCTGTCTACGCGGGGCCTCCCGGCCCGGGGCGCGACTTTGCGGCGAGTCAGCTGTTTCTCTCCTGGACTCCGAGGCGGAAACCCGAGGGGCGTGGGGAGGAGCTTCGCGCGCGGGGTGAACGCCCGCCCTACGTGCTCGTTCCCTCGCGACCGCAGCGCGCGAGCCCCGTGTCCCCGCGGCGGGCGGCAGCGGCGGGCGTCCAGCGGAGGGGGCGGAGGGAGTCCGCGGCGGCGGCGGCTACAGCGAAATGGCGGAGACCGTGGCGGACACCCGGCGGCTGATCACCAAGCCGCAGAACCTGAATGACGCCTACGGGCCGCCCAGCAACTTCCTCGAGATCGACGTGAGCAACCCACAGACCGTGGGGGTCGGCCGGGGCCGCTTCACCACCTACGAAATCAGAGTCAAGGTGAGGCCGTCTTCCGTCTCCCCCAGACTCCGCCCGCCGCCCCTGATGCCCCCACCCCTGCTTTGGGGTCGGCTCCCATCGCCCAGGCCTGGAGCCCCCTCCAGACGCGGTGGGGCAGCCCTGTCTCCGGGCCGGGGTCTTGAGGAGCCAGGGCCCCTCTTGGTTGGGGGGCTTTTCTGGGGGCTCCGGCGCTGGCCCTTGAAGAAGGTGCTCGAAGAAGAGGGCGTGGGCTGAGCGCCGCTTGCCCTCAGGCAGCTGATCTGGGAATGACATTTAAGTTGGGAACGGGTAGATCTTTCGAGAACGCAGCGTTTCGCGGGGAGGGTGGCAGCGCGAAGTTAGAGCCTTCCATGGTTCTCAGCCAGGCTGAGCGCCCCAGGCCGCCCCTCCAGCCTGGGTCATGGAGCCTTCTGGACGGAGCTGGGAGGGAGCTCACGGAGGCCAGACCGGTTCTTGGTGAGGCTGAACCGGCCGCCCAGGGCCTTTGGAAGCCCTTGACCGCAGCGCGGTGACCACAGTGGCCGCAAAGGCCGAGGTGTGGGGGCCGTCGCCTCCCTTGCTTTAAGGAAAGCCTATTTAGGGATCTTACTCTTTTCGTTTCGCGATTTACGCCTCACTGATTGAAGGCGTCTGCTTAAGTAGAGACATAGAGACACACTAAGAATCTCATACCTGGTATTTGTTGGCAGTAAGTCATTTAGATGATTTGAAAGGTGCTAATTGAGAATGAGTGCTTCCCTTTCGCTCTGTATTTCAGGATTAAAGACCTTTGCCCATGTGTGGAAGTATATAAAAATTAATGTGTAGAACTAATCCAGCCGTTAAAGACAACATCAAGAAGTTACTTTATTAGAAGTTACTTTATTAAAAATGAAGCATAACAGTTCGGCCTTAGAGTGATCAAAATTTATGTAAACAGTTACCATCAACATTTAAGTGGAATAATTTCTCATTAACTTAAACATTTGCATGTGTGTCTGGTTTCCCACGTGGGAGACCCCGAGAAGGCTCCTGGCTTCTGAGCGGCACAGCTCTGGCTGTTGCGGCCATTTGGGGAGTGAACCAGTGGATGACACTCTCTCTCTTTCTCCCTCTCTCTCTCTCTCTCTTTCTTTCTTTCTCTCTCTCTGCCTCTGCTTCTCTGTGACTCTGCCTTTCAAATAAATAAAAAAATCCTTACAAAGCGTTGCTTAAAAAAAAAAAAAGGCTAATCATCTAATTGTATTTGAAGATAACAAGCTGTTACCAATCGCCTGGAGGCTTTCTTCAAGTCCAGGCTCCGTTCCCTGTGGGGAAGTACCCTTTCATGTAAGACTCCTGAAAAAGTGAGGTGGTTTTCTTTCTTTCTTTTTTTTTTTTTTTAATACAAAAACTTTTGGAATGATTTTGGATTGTCCTTAATATGTGGCAGCTGGTTCACTAAAAAGAACTTCCTCTTTTGCTCTCATTTGCCAGCATGTTTTCCTTTTATTCTTGTACTAAAACAGAACTGGTATTCCTGAGCTTCCTGTCACACAATTGAATTGGAGTCTCCTGCCTCCACTTCTTCCTCTTAAAAACTTTGTGTTTACCTTTCTGAATGCATTATTTTAAGTGGATTCTAATGTGATGATTTAATCCTCTCTCTCTTTTTTTTTTATACATCTCATACAGTATTACCAGATAATGTGAGAAATTCTTTATGATATTTTCATTTGCATATTAGGGAGAATAATCCTTTTTAAGAGTGATTTATGAGTTAGGGAATTAAAAAACTCCTACTTTGGTTTGTATTTTTATGTAAACCAATTCACTAATGACTGTTACAGTTGTGAGATGCAGTCGCCCTGTAAGAAAATATAATTGAGTTTTTAACATTTATGAAATGCCATTGGAGTTTCCTTTAATGTGCAACATGTTAGCTTAAAATTCAGGATACCAAAGGAGAGTTAGACATTAGCCTTATTTCATCAGTGTGTGTGTGATTTTTGAGAATAATTACAATCTTATATTAAGGTGGAATGACCATAAGATGAGTAGGTTAATCATTTTGTAATTTTATTTATTACTGCTTTCCTAAACTGTTGCTGCTCTCCTTAGCCCCTACTTCCTGCGTTTTGCTGTTGAATTTGCCATGTAGAAAACCATTTTCTGTTCTAGAGTTTGGGCCCTTAAACAATTTTATAGTTACTCTGTAATTCTGGTCTTGAGAAAAATGTTCAATTTTATAGGATCTGATTGAAATTACTCCAATTCACAGGGTAATTTTATCTGGATGGTGGCACTTTAGAATGCAAGTTTCCCAATCTCCATTTATCTTTTGGTTTGAGGATGGTGTTCAAGACTATTAGGATCGCTTGATTGGTATCTCTGGGCTTTTGAAAATAATTGGCACAGTGTTCATGGTTTTTTTTTTTTTTAATTGTTCTAATGGGTAGGTACAGCACAGAGCACCATAAATGATTAAAGGTTTGGGAAAGCTCAGGGGCTAGAATTATTTTGGCATATTAAAGGGAAGGCTGAAAGGGAAATGCAGTCACTCTTTATGAAGTTTCTGTTGTAACTTTAATTTTCTAATATTTTTAATTAAGATCTGCTATTTTACCTGGAGACAATGTTTTGAACAGGATTGAGTTAAAGAGCTTTCTGGAGCTCTGAGCTAGTTCTAGGTTCAAAGAATAGATACATACTAGCAGCATACTGTACAAACTCAAAGCTGTACTTCCCCTCTGTGAAATAGGTTTGTTGATAATTGTACTTAATACATAGGACTGAAATAATACAGCCAACCCCTTGAGCACTGTCACACACAAAAAGGTTAAAGCCAACCCTCTGGAGTGCTGGCGGAGCAGGTTAAGCCTCTGCCTGCAATGCTGACTTCCCATAGGGGCGCAGGTTGAGTCCGGGCTGCTCCACTTCTGATCCAGCTGTCCGGCAATGCATCTGGGCAAAGCAGCAGATGGCCCAAGTGCTTGGGCACCTGGCCCCATGTGGGAGACCCACAAGAAGCTCCTGACTTCGGCCTGGCCCAGCCCTGGCTGTTCCAGGCATTTGTGGAGTAAACCAGCAAATGGAAGATCTCTTTGTCTCCTCCTCTCTAACTCTGCCTTTAAAATAAATAAAATCTTCAGCACCCAGGTATATTTTCTGTGTTAATATGCAGTTGAACTACTAAAATCACGAGATTTCCTTTCAGGAAATCTACTTGGCCTGGAAATACATTTTGCTGAGGCAAATGTGATATAAAAAGAAGCTGCCACCTCTTTTAGTACTTAATCAAATAGACTGTTTTGTTTTTTTTGTTTTTTTTTTTTTTTTTGACAGGCAGAGTGGACAGTGAGAGAGACAGAGAGAAAGGTCTTCCTTTGCCGTTGGTTCACCCTCCAATGGCTGCCGCAGCTGGCGCACTGCGGCCGGTGCACCGCGCTGATCCGATGGCAGGAGCCAGGTACTTATCCTGGTCTCCCATGGGGTGCAGGGCCCAAGCACTTGGGCCATCCTCCACTGCCTTCCCGGGCCACAGCAGAGAGCTGGCCTGGAAGAGGGGCAACTGGGACAGAATCCGGTGCCCCAACCAGGACTAGAACCCGATGTGCCGGCGCCGCAAGGCAGAGGATTAGCCTATTGAGCCGGGGCGCCGGCCCCCAAATAGACTTTTGAAGTTTAGATTTTTTAAAACATCCCCCTGGGGCCAGTGTTGTGGCACAGCAGCTTAAACCATGACTTGAGATAACTTGCATCTGATCTCAGAGTGCTGGTTCATGTCCTTGTTCTCTGCTTCCAGTCCAGTTTCCTGCTAACGTACCGGGGAAGGCAGCTAATTGTGGCACAAGTGCTTGGGACCTTGCCACCCACATGGGAGATCCAGGTGGAGCTCCAGGATCCTGGCTTTGGCCTGGCCTAGCCCTGATTGTTATAAGCATTTGGTGAATGAACCAATGGATGGAGCATCTTTCTCTGTCTCTCAAATAAAATAAAAATAAATAAAAAATAACTCTGTTCTGTTATTTTGAGCCATTAGGGACTCTGTTCTTTATTCATTTTAACTTACCAGGGAACAAGGCACAAATGGTTTTCTCTCACCCAGGGTAAGTTATCTAATTAGTCTTGGAGCCAGTGCTCAAGTATTCTGTTCTTGGTTTGGAATTGGCCAACAGCTGCAGTTCATTTAATTAAAGCAGTGCATTAAGAACTGTGTTATATATAGCCTAGTCTTGGGGCACCCTCCAGTGTCTGAACCCTTTGAAGGAAATATCAGTGTTGACACCCTTGAGACCTGGAAGCTGACTTCATTTCGGTAATTCATGATAGGTAAGATGCACCCAGGAAAAATGAACAGCTGAAAAGAGCAAGCTTACCATTAAATTCTGTGCTCGGGTGAGGTGACCTAAAAGAAAGGTGTGCTAGTGGTTATCTAGTGATGCCTGTAGAAGGCAAGTTATTTTTCTGTATTAAAGTTGAGTCAAGAAGGGATCTGTCATTTGAATACCTACTCTGTGCAAGGCATTGTTACATATATGTATATATTAATGTGTGTACATACATATAGAAATAGATAATTCCATCTTTGAGGGAACCAAAATCAGGATGTCCTGATTTTGCAGGTGTAGAAGCTGAAGCGCTCTTTGTTGTTGTTAAGATTTATTTCTATTTATTTGGAAGAGTTACAGAGAAAGGGAGAAACAGATATCTTCCATCTGCTGGTTCATTCCCCAAATGGCTGCAACAGCCAGGGCTGGGCCAGGCTGAAGCCAGGAGCTTCATCCAGGTGTCCTATATGGATTCAGGGACCCAAGCACTTCGGCCATCTGCTGCTGCCGCCTTTCTCAGGCACATTATTAGGGAGCTGGATCAGAAGTGGAGCAGCCGGGACTCAGCCGGCACCCACATGGGGCCAGTGCTGAGGGTGGTGGCTTAACCTGCTAAGGCACAACACTGGCCTCTGAAGTCAGTATTGATCCTCATCTCTTGTGCCTTCCTTGTTATTTTATGCTCCAGTCTGCTGTCGCTCCCCCACTCGC